AACAACTTTTATTTGAAGCATTTTTCGCAATTTTGAAAAAAAAATTTTCGTCAGTGTCAATACTTAATTGGATATTTCCTTCTATACTTTTTAGCACGTAGCTATTTATTATTAGCATTGTTCTTCCGACGTCTGAGTTGTTTTTAATTATAGGGAATGCGTTTTCCTAAGGTACATAAACTTTTGGGATTGACTGTATAGCCAATACATCCTTAAAAAAGAACTACAAGAACTGCAAAGTCATCCTACGAATTTTTTTATTATCATTTGTAGCACAACTAAAATTTGCATGAAAAGTACGATTGAACAAAGAACGGTGAAATGTACAGCTTCGTACAACAATTTCGGTGAGAACACCGACCACACGAATAAATGATGACGCTGAATACTGATTATAATTGTATAAACAGCTACTGGTAGAAATCTCCACGTAATACATCTTTTACTAACTTGTACAAAAATCTCATTGGTACTAAAAGAAAATGAATCATGACATGTTAACATTGATTTCGATCCAATAATTTAAACAGAATTACTAAGTCTACTCACGCTTGAGGATATTGTAAGATTGTGTGATAGATAAGTAATAGATAAGCCAGAACCGGCGCCGAAAAAGTATTAATTATTATGAAGAAACCATTAACGAACGGCATGTAAGATTGCATGCCCACGTAACCAGCAGCTACATCAACAGTAGCTAAACTGTTAGAATTTCCCTGTAGCGAGTCAAAGTTAACATTGCAATTAAAACAGTCGCTTTTCAACGTCACCGAAAAACATTACCTGATAGAAATAAAACACATTGCCCATCCAAGCATACAAGAAAGTATTCACCTCTTGCTTAACATCATCTCTTACTGTTTCACAAATCACACTACTGAAGATTATTTGGAATGGCAGGAGTATCACGTTATGTGGTCGATGGAGCATCGCTGCTACCATTATCCATGTTCGTACAACGAAATGTAATGTAAGTCGTAAAGATATTGTCTTAGAACATTTTTGTGCTAATGCCAAACGGTATATGTAACGTGATAGATGTATAACGAGTAGTACCCAGAATATTTGTACTTCATAAATTTCTCTGTAATAAAAGATGGACTTCCAAGAATCCGGTTTATCCGGATTTTTAATGGAAACAGAATGCTTACCTCGAGTGAGGGTAAAATGGTATTTTTACAACGTTATGGTTGTGCATATGACGAAGATAGATACATGAGCTAGCTATTAAATTCAGCATCAACGAGCTCTGTCTGTACTCTTTGTCCCCATGATTGAAATCGATCCATGTTAAAAGCGCGAGGCCTAAGAAAATAGTTTTTAATATATGAGAATCTATGTGCTGATCTGAATGGTAATTTCCTTAATTACCAGAGACAAGGACAATCGTCATGCCCAAAGTATTTTCTTGCTCTAGCAAATATCCTGCTATATCTGGGAGATGAGCGTATTTGTCCCCGGTGCTGTTTAATTTTCTAAAGATTCTATGCCCAATGAGCAATAGTGAAAGTTTTACAATAATATGTTTATAGAAATGTTTCTTGTCATTTCTGTAATTAGAATTTGGATAATTTAATCATGCTAAACTTCTTCGCGTTTCAATGGACAAAATTCGCTTACGCTCGTGAATGGACGAAGAATTTCGATATGGAATTGTACAATAATAAGGTGAGGATTGTGACCCAATAAAAATACCAAGTTTGATGTTCTTCCTCCACGAAGCTACTACCACCGAAGCTAATCGCATGTGCCAATGCACCAAGCAAGAGTAACCACGACTCTGTCTTCTAATTTGTCAAAAAGGAATTATTTTACATGCATTTCGCGTTCGTCGTACAAACTGTGACTCGTGTAATTTCCTTACCTCGAAAATATTGAAACTTCTTATACTGGCAAGTAAATAAGAATTTGTAATCAACACAATTATTATATATAATATTATTAGAGTGGTGATTGAGCTCCTCGAATGAAACACCGACGGACCTTCGCATTGCCAGTAATAATTTATGAATACCCATGAAACTATGTTTAAAACGATGAAAGAAGAAACACTTTTTAATGTAGGAGAGCTGGAAGATATTTTTGCTGCTGAGATGCAAGCAATCTGGAATAATTGATAAACTATACAAGAATGATTTAGAATGATAATTAAACGAGGTTTCAATCCTTACTTGGCACAAGAAAAGTATGGCAATCGTTATTATTGGGAAATCGTATTTCACTGTACTGTTTATTAAAATTCCTTTCATTTCTTGCAATGCTATTTTGTAAGAAAGTACGATATCATCTGTCGTATCGGCGGGATTGTTTTTAGTATTCAACCATGCATTATGGAGCTTTATCGCTTCCAAGTATTTTTGATATGCATCTGCAACCACGAGCAAATGCACCATCGTGTTGTTTCATTGTTTAATTAATCACAGCTACTCACATTCGTTTTGATAATCGACTAGCCTTTGGAAATGATCGAACATCTGCTTCGCATTGTAATGAAGAACGAACAGCTTCTTTGATACGGGTAAATCGTACAATGTATCCAAGAAAACGGTCCCTATATTGGAATGTGGAATAGGCAAGCCCAAAATAACAGACAGCGTCGACGTGATATCTATTTGCGATATTTCCCTGGGATTATTGTTACTCTGAAGACATTTTCCACCGATAGCAATGAAAGGCACGGTGGTTTCGGCTAACGTCGAACCACCGTGACCACCGGAATCTTTCATTCCATGATCCCCAGAAATAATAAATAAGCTAGGATCGTTATTTTGATTCTGGAGAAGAAAATAAGTTTACTCTATTGTTACGAACAGATCTCATTTTCTGATTTCCTTCGACACCCACCCATTCTTGAACCTTAGCTTGAATCTGCGCTATCACATCGTCCATCTCTTCAAGTTTCACTTTTATCAGCGGACTGAATGGTCCATGAACGTGACCGATATGATCGAGCCCTAAATAATGAAGTATCATTATGGACCAGTCAGATTTATCATGCAATTCCTCACGAATATGTCTAGTCACATTGTTATCAACCTGAATTGAAAAATTTCGCTACATGTAACACCAGAAACATGTTATTTGAAGAACGACAGTAGCACAGAGTTACCTCAGTGAAATCTGTTACCAAAAATGATGTGGTTCCATCGTAACGATCAAAGACAGAGGGAAACAATGTGATCCAAGTATCATCCCCATAGAATACTAATTTGAGGCCAGCCTCTTTGGCTTGGTAAAGCACGCTATCACCAGAAACTGGTTTGTTTCCAAAATTTAAAGCTACGTCAATGAAACTTGGAATCATACCAGTAGTAATCGCCTGAATTGTACAAGGCATTGTTAATTTCTTACTACCCAAAATATAGTAGATATAAAAGATCTCAGTGAACATGTGACACCTTTACTCTAGGCATTGTAACTGTTGGCGATTGTACTTTAGCTTGTAACAGACAAGCTGAAGAATTTGCTATCAAGCTATTAGTTACAGGCATTCCTGTTACAAAGTCCCACCGCAGGGAATCAATAATCATTATGATCAATCTCTTAACCATTGGCTGATACAATGTATTTGTCTTTATTCTAAAAGATACATATAATGCAGTGAGACAAGAAATTACTGAAAATATGAGTTTTGACTCACCTCACATTTTCTATAAATTTTGGTATATCATCTTTTGTTGATATACTATTATCATAATTGACCAAAGGGAAGAACCCATACAAAAATAATGCAATTGACGAAGGCCCAATGAAGAGGACGTAGAATAATATAAAAGTATTTTTATCCATTTTTCCCAAATTTATCATATAATTTGAAGGTTAAACTATTGAAGAGACACGCCAGTGTTTCAATAACATTTTCCTAAACCTTTGTCACTGAGTACTATTAGTACTATAATCTATGTACTGTTTTAGCCAATTCATTTTTTAATATTTTAAAACATCTTTTCAAATTATTTCCAACTATACTAAGGACTCCCATAGTATGTCAGTACATGATGGTAAATGGTAAACTTGTCTGCCCACTTGGCGGCAAGTCTTAAAATACATTAGATCAGCGACAAGACTATATTTTTCCTTTAATTGTGTATAATTCCAAGAAACGGATAAGTATTCCATTCTACTTGAAAGGGCAATGTGTAAACCTGATTACTGATTGCAAATACATTTGTTATAACGTTAATTCCAAAATGACAAACTAGTCGCAAGCTTGACAAAAATGAAATGAAAATCAGTTTTTAAAGATTAAATTTTCTCCTTAGTTTAGAGTTAATACTTCTTCGATCATTTCAAAATAAAATATATTGATCGAATGGATATTCGTGTTCGGCAGGCAATCAGAAATCGCGTTGCGTTCCGTTGATGAAACGTCCCAAGACAATCCGATCAATAAAGTGGAAGCGGAGTTGATTCTATCGAGGCGAGGGTAGATCCGGCTCAGTCATCGAGCACCCGCACAGCGACGCATTATGTTTCGGTAATCAGAGTTTCGACACAAGCACGGTTTCTTGATTTTCACCTCTAAGTTAAACTACCACATTATTTAACTTATTTAACACACAGTGAGTACCTAAGCCGATTTAAATCGTGTCTGTAATGTTCGTACGCAAAATCATTTGCCATTTCATTGGAAGCCATGTAATAATTAATTAAGGGAATAGAAACGAAGGGGGTAGAAATATTTTGAAAAATACTCAATTCCAGAAGGAAATGACATCGATAGAAGAGGCTTGGAAAGAGGCGACGGACGGTTTGGACGGTAGTGTCTGTGATACATGGTTCACAAAATTGCAAGAGGCTTACTCAGAGGAGAAACGTACCTATCACAATTTAGACTCCCTTCGTGAAAAATTGAACTGTTATTATGAAGTTAAGGACAACTTGAAGAATCCACAAGCTGTGCTTTTTGCCTTATTTTTTCAAAAGTAAGTGACATCAGCAGAAGTGAAAAGAAGGGAAGAGTGTTAATTAAACTGGAAGAGTGTTAATTAAACTGCAATTGTGTTATAGCTTTGAATATGATCCTAAAGCTTTAGATGGTGAGAACAAGAATTTGGAATACTTCAATGCGTTTGCAGATGAAGCTGAGATTCCGGCTGTAAGTATCATTTCCTACTGCTAATACTTTATTATTCTCTTGAATGGCAAGAACAATAGAAATTTGTTACAGGATTCGCAATTAAGAGAAGAGGCTAGTGAACTCTTGAAAGTTGCTGCAACACACAGTACTGATGCTCATAAAATTGGCGGTGCCTTTGGTGGTGAAGACGCTCATTACTTTTTAGATTTGGACATGGCTGTGTTAGGTTCATCAGCTGAAAATTATGCAGATTACAGGGAGAAAATACGTGGGGAATACTCCTTTCTCAGTGAGCCAATGTACACCGCGTTGCGTTTAAAGGCAAGTGCATTCTTAAACGCATGAATCAGCTGTTACGTTTCCTAACTATTTCCCATCCTACAAATTAGGTGCTGCAGAACTTCGTGCAGATCCCAAACATATTTGCCACGAAGGAATTTCGCGAGAAATACGAAGAGCAGGCAAGGCAAAACATTCAAGCTGAAGTTGAACTGTTATCTTAGGATGACTGGAGAACTTAATGAACTGGAAGCTGAATCTTTGTGAACTTTTTATCATCAGGAATGTTCATTGCAAGAATAGCAATTATTGAAGAGAGGATTTAATCGACACAAAATTGTTTTAAATTGTATCTGTAGAGTTTGATCTCAGAGTAGTGTACGGTAGTACAAATGTATATTTTCTGTATTAGTATCCAAACTACATATACGTGTCAGGCAATGTCATACAGAGAAGTGACATATTGTTTTAATTAGGAGATGCATTCATGTCCCATGTTTAGCATAAATACGTCTTGATTCATTAGGTATAGAAAATTGGCATGATGTTCATAGTGCGGCGAATTGCGAGGCTGAATTATTTTCGATGCTAAGTGTTAGACATGAATGGATATCTTTTATCATTCTCCTTTATAAACGATATGTTTTGTATTTTAAGAATAATGCGCTGAAGTCTGTTCGCTGTGGCTTTTATACTAACGATCATTGAAACAAATATTTTCGAGTATCTTAGTAGCATTGTTACATGCTTCTAATGGAATCAAAGTTACACATATGTTCAACATATGTAACAAACATACTAGAGATTTATATATGTATATATATATGTATTCAGCTAATGAACAAATTTTAAACATTGTTATATTGAATTTAAACTCACAACTGTAAAATGAACTTGTGAAACGAAGCCAGAGAATTGTCAATCTCTAATATACAATTTATTTTATCTAATCGATGTAAGTGTTTAAATATGTTATAAGATATAAAAGAATACATGAATATTTATGTATCATTCACCTACCTCGTATCTGTCGATCTTCTCAATGCACGAACAACTGTTTCAATAATTGTAACAATGATGAAATTACTGTGCTGCAACATTCTTGCCGAAAAACGGAACAAACGGAAAACACTTCACTCATGTTTTTACCCGCTACTCTTCAAAGAAGAGACGAGATGTTCACAATGTGGCCAAGACTAATTTTTTAGGCATTCTCGACGTAACACGAGCATCGATCAGTTACGTTTTTGCAATTTAAATAGATTTTTTATGCAAAGACCGAGCAACAACGTATATTTCAATATATTTCATTTACCCTGATGTGAGATGCCGCCTCGCCGGTGTACCTTCTGCTGTAATCCGCGTTCTGCCAAGATAATTCAAAGTAATCCAACATAGTTCTGATTGTTTTTGCACGCGAACACTCGATCACATACTTATTTAACAAATTAATCACAATTTAACACTGAACAGCACGATTAATCCAGTTCTCGCCACCGACAGAACGTACAATGTAACGCGGTTCCTTGGCTGCTGAGCACGAGCGCGCGAAACGTTGCTAACCGATTCACTTCGATGCGTCATTTGAATCGATATCGATTTTCTCGTGCCCGCGAATTTTCATTCCTACTCGAATCGCAACCGAGAAAATAGTTTCGGAACAGATTTTTAATATTCGTGAATCTAACTCAGGAATATTATACAAATTATTTTTAAATGAATCTTTAATAAGACATGAATATTTTGAGGTAATTCATAATATTTTGATTAAAATATGAA